CAAATAAGGAATATATCATCACCTTTTTTCAGTGGAATTCCTTTTGAAGAACTATTTTTGTAAACTTAATTAAAGGAGGACTATTTTTATACCTTTAATACATATATAAGTTAAGTATTAAAAATCATGTAAAGTGAAGAAAAAGGAAAGAAAAAAAAAATCAAAGAGAAAAGTACCTTCTAGTCAGACATGGTACATAAAAAACTTTTGAAAATATGATTAAACATTTCAAAGCACCATTGGGACGTTAAATTCAAAAGCCTCTTGTAGAGAGAATGCCACACTCTTTGCACATTTGGAACCCTCGCACAAGTCTTTGAGGGGTCTGTAGGTGGCCAGGTGTTGCAAGGCAGAATTTATATTCCTCTCCAATATACCCTCACTTTCCAGTGTTCTCGCCCTTCATACGGGTCGATTCCTTTTACACAACCTACCTATTGTATTTATTTTTCATTTTGTTCTCATTCTGAACATCCATGAAATATTGCTACTGAATGTTCATTGATCAGATTGATTTGCTGAATCATAATGTCCAGTTGCAAATATTTCATGCTTATGAGAACAAATACACTATATATCAGATGATCGAATTTAGATGTAAAAAAGTGGCAGGTCACTGGAAAACAAGTATTAATTAGATTGAGGAAGAAACTTTGACATACAACAGATCGCTTACTGGACCTTCTGAAGAGAAGCTACTTTGGCTCTTTCACAATCAGGGCAGTCTCCCAATTGATGTTAAGCATATAATTTAGAAATTTCTGCTAAAGGAGAGCTGCTAAAGGAAAAAAAATTGAATATTTTCAGGAAAATCATTTGTATAAAAAAAGATCAAGTTTAGATTGTAAACTTAAGTGGTCTGCATAACAATTTTGATAAACAAACTGGCCATATTAAATATTATGAATAAGTACACATAAGAGAATCTCAGAAAAGTATATACCATTTTGCCAGTGCTTGTGCATGTTACTATCTAGTTATATTTACAAAGGATAACTCTGGTATATTAAGACTGTACACTAGTAGCATGCAAATACTTATAGCAAGAGAATAAAGTTACAGAAAAAAAATTTGAATTGTGCATAGATATTTTACCTTCTCCCATTTTATATTTAGGAAGGTTTCTGCTGAAATTCTAAATAACAACATTTTCAATAATATGGTCTTTTTCTTTCAAAATTATAAAAGGATGTGTGCTTGTTTTTGAGATGCAAGCCAGTTGAAAAACCAGAATTTTGGTTGGAAAGGATTTCTCCACTGTAATGTATAACAATATTTTTTTTATTTAACCTATGGGATAATAAGGTGTTTTTAATATTGGGATAAAATATATTTTCATTTGCTTATTTTTGGGATGTGCAATATTTCTGTACTTTTGTCTCGGCTTAGTGGAGTCTAAAAGCGAGACATATGTATGCTATTTCCGGTTGGGGCATTGGTGGCGGTGTCATCAACAATGTATTAGTTTGTGATTAGGTCAGTTTATTGGGAACCAGTATTGGGAGGTCAATGATATCTGGTATTAATTTTGAAACTTTTGCTTAGTTTACATGTTAAAGTATTGCTATTTTAATTTCAACAATTGCATTTTACTATCAAAATAACAAAAGGTGAGACATATCTCTGTGTTAACAGTTTATGAATGTTTCAACAAGTAAAATCACAAAAATACTGAACTCAGAGGAAAATACAAAAAGGAAAGTCCCTAATCAAATAGCAAAATCAAAAGCTCAAACACATCAAACGAATGGATAACAACTGTCATATTCCTGACTTGGTACAGGCATTTTCTTATGTAGAAAATGGTGGATTAAACCGGGTTTTAAAGCTAGCTAAACCTCTCACTTGTATGACAGTCACATCAAATTCCATTATATTGACAACGATGTGTGAACAAAACAAACACAATAGGTAAAAATGTCACAAATAGGGGTACAAGAGCAACACGAACCCCACCAAAAACTGGGGGTGATCTCAGGTGCTCCAGAAGGGTAAGCAGATCCTGCTCCAAGTTATTTTAGGGATATGAAAATTTTTGATTTATATGGTTTGGTAGGTGAAAGTTTCAGGGATGCAATGTGTAAATTATTGTATATGAGGGCTGCCCCCCTCCTCCCAAATAATTTTTTTAAAATGGACACTACATTTCAGGAAATGGGAAGTGCATGAGTTAATAATTAGAACACAGTTATTTTGTCCTCAGGGAAACTTGACTCTCTGAAAGCTATGTCACATCCTTAAGCCATGAACATACAATTCATCAATCATGATATATGGATGATAAAAATAAATTTTTCTTTAACCCAAATGGCAGCCATGCATACATATGCAGTGATCAACGAGCAAACCAAAACAAAAAAGAAAATCTGAATCTCCTTCAACTTTGATAAAAAATTTACATCAATTATTATTAAATGTAAGATCATCTTCATGAACATGAAAATGCACCAAAGCAAGATGGTCATGTACAGAGTTTGAATGAATTATGATGCCTTACTTTCTATGAATACACAGAGACTAATGATATATATTTCAATGAGACAGCAACCCAACAACCAAATAAAAGCAAACATGACATCAACATCAATTATAATTCTATATAATTATAATTTTATATTTTACTTTTGATACCTACAGTCAAACGAGTGGTAATATTGGGTCATCCTACCAATTGAAAAATCAAGGATGATTACTATGTAACTTGACCTTTACCATGTTAATTGACCTTTACCTTGTTACTTGACCTTTACCATGTTCTTACCCACATATTTTTATCATCTTACAATTTAAGTAAATTTATAAGTTAATGACTTTATTTTAAAGCAAATTTAGAAAATTTTTGAAAGGGAGCAATCTGTGGTTCCTCATTGAAAAGAAACAAAATAAAAGTGGTTTTTATATAGAAAATAGGAAGGCTATGAACAGATGTCTGACATTTGAATTGAAACACTATTCTATTTTACTCATATGAAAAAATATATTGAAAAGCTTGAAACTTTGAATTCAAGACATGCAACCCAGACAATAATTTTGTTCCAGAGTATAGAATTGATATATATGTATATATGTGAGATACAGCAACAAAGTTCAGAGTTCAAGGTCAATTGTCAATATTGTAGGTCATAGGTCAAGTGGATTCCAAAAATTAATGGGTGTAACTCAATTTTACCTCAACTAGTGCCAACGGTCAGTGTAAGCTATTCTTATACTCTGTTTGCATTGTTTGTTAACTTTTCCAACAGTGGGCCACTAGAGACAGTTCTTGGTTTAGGTTAGTCAGTTTTCATATTTTTCTTCTCATAGTACTAGATCAAATCTATTTAAACTTCATAGACATAGTGATTGAGAGTTAACCATTCCTCCTCAAAATTCATTCTAATCAGTTGACATTCATGGTGGCATGTCTTATTTGTCTGTGGCCTCGGTGGCAGAGTTGTATATACTGTATCACTAGTCTGTCAACACTGTGGTTGTGAGTTTGAACCCTGCACTTGGTAGGTGCATTCAACTTGAATCTTAATTGACTAAGATTGCCAGTTTTCCTGCCAAAGGTCATGACCCTATCCAGGCACTCCGTCTTCCTCCTACCCCCCAAAAAAAATGGATTTAAACACCAACAATCAATCAGTCAATCTTATATGTCCCCTTGAACTCTATTGAAAACCTTATTTTCTGTGATTTCTCTGAAATGGGATATGAACTTCATCATATCTGACTGATGTTTAAAATACAATTTGAATCTACAGGCTTCAGTAATTGAAATCAGAAAAGGAGAAATAGACAATTAGAAATCCTTGTTCTTACTTGTTCATCTTGAGGTTTTTAAATTTTTAAAAGAACCATACCCCAATTTTGGAGAATTTTAGTCAATGAGATTAGTGTTTTTTTTCATATTACATTTTTTATGCCAAATTATTTTAAAGCTCAAACTTCCATCCATCATACGATTTTAACCTGCAATTTAATGAATTAATGTTTTTAAGGCATATTAGTCTTTTAACTTTCCTAATTAATCAAATTAAATTTTCTTATGAGATTTCTATTTTTAGATCGGTGAGTGGATTAGCTAATCCTGCAGGGTTCCCCTTTGCCTTTGTGCATTGAATTGATCACTTGGTTATCATGGATAAAAAATGTATGAAATATTTTTCATGTGTGTAATTTAAGTAGTATTACATAAGATATTGATTTTAGGGATGGAAAGATTACATTTTTTGTCCTCCTTCGTTTCCATGACAACACTACAACTCTACCAAAAATAATATGCACTTTTTTCACCATCACTATTGTTGCAAGTATGCATTTCAATTAAGTTAAAAACCTTTTATTATGCATGTGTAGATGTTAAATCGTTTGGCAAACGGCCAGAAACTGTAAAAAAAAAAATCTGTAATTTATTCCAAGGCAGTTACAACAAAATGTCATTCTAGTTCACTTAAAAAAATATAAAATGATAATGCCTAGAGGCTTTAAGGTATTGAGGACATGTTTTCATAACCACGCTTTCACCTTTTTTTCTGATATTTGTTTGGTTAACACCCATTTACCCATTAAAATATTGTTTGTGCAAGATAATAGAATTGGGGACGAAAAAAGGTCAGATATTTTTATATTTTTATACAAAAATCAATTATCCAAATTTCAGAGACCTTTAATTATTATATATAAATCTATGTTGTCGTTTATTAGCTATGTATTTGTTTAAGTTAAAATGATTTTAATTAAATTTTCGTTACTAACAAATGTACAAGCATTAAACCAGATATGAGTTATGTAATGTGGGTTTTTTTTATTCTAGTGATTCATCAAGATTTAATTGAAAAAAAGTTTGCCCTTTATTGAACCCCAATTTTTTTCCAAGCTTCTAAATAAAACTATGTTATTGCTTTTACTTGTTCAGAATAAAAAAAATGTGATTTTTATATCTGCAGTAGTTATAGATCTGTTTTGTGGCCCTTAGGAAGACATTGGTTTTTTCGGAAAAATATATTACATAATCGGATCGTCATTAAATTCAAGTCAGTTGCATTTACTCTTTTCACATTTTATTACACACCATAGAAAAATTGTAGAGGAAATTAAATGGATTTTTTTTTCATTGCAACATTAAAAGCAAGTTGCATTATTCATTTAAGCCAAAACTTTTTTAGTCTAGTTTTTAGTTGGCAATAAGTCAGCAGGCAAAATTACTTTCAGCGGTATTTTTTATTTAATGTGAAACTTTTTATTGTTGAGGATGGACAAAAAAAGTGGAATTAAAAGTTTTATTCAAAGGAAACGTTTGTTGTGTTGCAAGAATGGATGAATTCGGGATTAAATGTTTAACAGGTTAATTTTAGATGACGATAAAAATTCTTTTATGATAGATTATTGAATAAATTGGACAGTCAAGACAGGTAAAGTTAATGTTTTTATACTGTGGATATTTTTCTCAAAACAGTTTATTGCAACAGTGAACAAGATGTTGAAGGACTGAACAGTTGCGTAGTATTACAAGTACTGTAGAGAATTCAGGAAAAAGTTATAGTTTAAAAAGAAAAAAAAACATTGGTCAAAATGAATGGTCATTTTGATTTTGATCCTTCGTACAATAACTTTAAAATGTTTATGACTTATTGGTTTATGTCTTCTCGTCACAGGCCAGGATTGAATGGATTAGCAGACGGTCAGTTGCTGCCGGACAGGATGGGAATCGGAGAAGGTATGGAAGAGGAACTACAGAGGAGAATGAGGGGGAGAAGTAATAACTTTGAAGAAGAATTACGAAGTCGTTTTGGACTTAATAATATTGAAGAAGAGTTACGAAGTAGAATGGGATTAAGTAACAGGATTGGACAAGAACATAATGGTAAAATCGGAGGTAATAGTACTGTCGAAGGGGACCTTCATAATCGACTCAGTTTTAATCGTGGTATGGAGGATGAATTGCGTAGCAGGATGGAAGCAAGTCATAGTATAGAAGAAGAACTACGTAAGAAAATTGGATTCAGCAGCAGTATTGAAGAAGAATTACGAAGCCGGTTGTTATATAAAAATAGTGGACAGAATTCGCAGGGTGATATGTCTTTTTACAATGCAGTTGACGAAATGTGTCGTCAACAAAATCATCCTCAAAACCAATCATTCCAGTCAAAAAATAGAGATTCGGACATTGGAGAGGAAACAGAACCAAACAGCGACCATCTTGATGAGGTAATCGAAGCAGTAGCAAGAAATGATTTCGACTATGATCCCGAAGATAGTTTTATAAAACCAGAACATAAAAGAAGTTGTAACCAGTTCGAAGATAACTTTCCTATCAAACAGGAACCTATAGACTATGATTTAATGGCAGCAAACTTGACAGCAGGTCTCATGAATCCTGACCGCCGTCACATGTGTCCACACTGCTGTAAAGGTTTTCGGAGTAGACAACAGTTATTACAGCATAGCCTAGTCCATACAAATCTTAGAAAATATCATTGTAATTATTGTGAACGATCGTTCAAACAGCTCTCTCATCTTCATCAGCATCATAGAATTCATACAGGTAATTATAAACATTATAACAGGTAATGAGTGGAATACTATAAATTATATAATATGACATTTAACATCATTATTACAATTAATCAGTTATTTTAGTATAAAGTAAAATAGATTATATAAGTTAAGGCAATGCTTAAAACTGGGCTTGACCAGAAAAGATCACTGTTTTCAATATTTACAGTGGCAAATATTACAGGCATATTAAGAAATAGAACAATGTAAACAATTAATCAATTGGCAGATTCTGTAATGGTTTTTGACTAGCCTAGGAGAATGGATAGGCAATTATGAGTGCAATGGAAAATCAGAGCATATTAAACATGTCATAAAGGTTAGAAAGGAAGCTGTATGATTATTATATAAGAGTCTTATGTTGCCTCTTAAGATTGCAAATTTATTAACCCATCTCATCTTTCTTAACCTTTCTCATCTTTCTTAAGGACATTAAGCAACCAACAATCAATCAATTAATCATCTTTCTTAAATTACATTAAATTCTATTGACAAAGGGATAGAGTGATATAGTCTAAATAAAAGGAGATGTGTGGTTTACATGAACGAGGCAGCAAGCCAAAAGTTTTAAAACACAAAAACATAAATCGTCTATGGTCAACATACTTCTTTAAAAATGGACAAATGTCCACACGATATGTCAAGCTATAAATCTCGTCATTTTCAATACAGAAAATTTTATAATGTAGTTCGCCTAAACAGATGTTGTAAATTTTCCTTCCTTATTGAATTGATGAACACTTAAAGTCATATTTTCTGAGACCAGAGATAATTTGAGACTAAATTTGTCTGATGATTATTTAGTAAATATCTGACATATATTACTTACCAATCAATACGGGTCCCTTTCCTGTGAAAAAAACCAGAAGCTGTTGCAACCAATTGTTAGGGAAAAGGTTTTGTGGTGAACCTCTTTAGGTCAGTGTAGTTGTTATGTATAATTGTTAATACATTATACCCCTTTTCTGTGAAGCTGATATAAGGCATAGTTGTTAATCCCTTCATCCCTTGTTCCATCTGCACTTTGAATCCATAACTCCTTCATTACCAGTAACTGGATTTCAATGAACGTGTCAGAAAATCCTTGAGGACCTAGGTGGCAAAGTGGTCTAAGTAGTCATCTACAGTGATCACTGAGGTTGTGAGTATAAACCCAGCTCATGGCAAGCAAACTTACCTTGCCATGAGCTGGGTTCATACTCACAACCTCAGTGATCACTGTAGATGACTACTTAGGTTTGACCCTGATTTTGATTGAATAGGAATGAAGAATGGTGGTTCTCTCAAGGTACTCTGACCTCTTCCATCAATAAAAACTGTCCTCCATGAAACAGCCAAGAGTGCTTAAAGTGGCATTAAATACTGAAGATCAATCAATGGATCAGAAAAAAATCTCAGTATCTGATGGTACAGGTCTGCCACAAATGTCGTCTAAAGATATATTTTCATGTTGCCCTTGTTTTGAAGGTTGCTGTCATACATTTTTATATTGCCCATGTTTTGAAGGTTGCTGTCTTACATGGATATTTTCATGTTGCTCCTGTTTTGAAGGTCGCTTTCATACATTTTTATATTGCCCATGTTTTGAAGGTTACTTTCAAACATTTTCATGTTGCCCTTGTTTTGAATATAAATAAGAAGATGTGGTATGAGTGCCAATGAGACAACTCTCCATCCAAGTCACAATTTATAAAAAGTAAACAATTATAGGTCAAAGTACGGCCTTCAACACGGAGCCTTGGCTCACACCGTTTAGCAAGTTTTTGTAATCTTTTACAAAAATCTTCTCCTCTGAAACTACTGAGAAAAATTTAATCAAATTTGGCCACAATCATCATTAGGGTATTAGTTTAAAAAATGTGTCAGATGACTGTGCCTACCAAACAACATGGCGGACATGGCTAAAAATAGAACATAGTGGTAAAATGCAAGTTTTGTCTATTATTTTTTTAACCGTTCTATATAGAGAAAATCTGAATGGAGCAAAAATGTTCAGCATATTGAGCTCTACCATTTGTCCATATTACGTCAAAACTGTAAGACAAATTCTTGTAGGAGTTATTGCCCATAAATGACAAATTTTACCATTTTTGTTCATTTTTGCCTATTATCATGAAAACTATGATATTTAGAGAGAAACATTTATTTTCCATTATACCTTATATGATTTAAATTGTAATAGATAAAAAACACTTTAAATCACAAAAATGATCAGCAAGGCAAGATCTATTAAAAAGTCAAATTTCGCTGATATTGTTAGTAGACTGTCACTCTTCATAGGAGTGATTGCCCTTAATTGAGGAATTTTTTTTACCATCTTTTGTGTTCTGAGCAAAAACTAAAGAAGGTAGAGAGAAACTAAACAGACTAAAAGATCAGTAGTACAAGATCAACAAAATAAAGATTTTTGTCATGAAGTCTATTCTCGTCTACAATGTTGGAGAGTGTTTTGTTTGATATGCCCATAGACCTGGTGAAGGTGAGCGACAAAGGCTCTTTAGAGCCTCTAGTTTTTAAAGTCTATTCAAAATTAGAAGCCAAGTATTTCAATTAATCACACCAATTCTGTAAATAAATCTTTTTAATAAAATTCAGTATAATTTCTCCCAAGAAATTAAAAAGACATGTTCCTACACATGGACAGGAAATTTAAAAGAGTAAATTGTTTTTCTTATTCATATCATTAGATACATCGCGTCCTGGTGTTAAAATGCCCTTAGGAGAACACTGAGAATCTAGTTATTTCTGCTATACATATATATTTGGCCATCCTCACCATCTCTGAAAGCTGACCAGCAATTTCAGATCTCCAGACACTGTCCATTGCACCCTGATGTTAAAATGCCCTTAGGAGAAAACATAGATTCTACTTATTTCTGCTATACATGTATATTTCACCATCCTCATCATCTTTGAAAGCTGACCAACAATTTCAGTAATCCATTGATGTAACTTCACACATTTGAATACTTTGCTGGTTAACCAAATTAAGTATGTTTTTATAGATCTGCATCTTTGTGCATTGGTTAATTATGATACATGTATTCCTTTTATGTATTCAAGTTGATATGTTTTTATGGCTAATTATGGGTATAAAAACTGTAAGGTAAAAACCATAGATAAAAAGGTTGATATATTTTCCAGACTAAATCTTTAGTTAAAGATAAGAATAAATCAAATTTTGAGATGGAAAGCTTGGCAGGTGCGTTTTCTAATCTTAATTGACTAGGATTGTCAGTTTTCCTGCAGGAGTTGTTGTTCTCTCTGGACACTTCGGCTTCCTCCACCAATAAAAATTGACCTCTATGTTATAGCCAATAGTACTTAAAGTGGCTTTGAACATCAATAATCAATCAATATAATAAAAGCAGAAGGGAAATCCTAAACAAAATATTTTTTGAAATGTATAATATCATTCAACCCTTTTAAACATTAATAGCTTATTTTCACGTGAATTTGAACAGTTATGATTAAATTTCTTAGAAGTTTTGGATTTTCCAATATTTGTCATAAGGGACAACCACACACTTGAACATATCCTTAAACAACAATTTTTTTTTCTTTTTCAAAGGGGATAAAAAGAAAAATATGATGTTTTCGTTTGAAAACGCACAAGATGTTGAACGACCTTAAATCCACTTCTGCAGGAGGCTTTTAATGCCTGTTACCATGGTAACATACCGTGGCATAGGCATCAGTTACCATAATGACTGTAACTTCGTAAATATTTTGACGTTTTTCATTATGTTTTGTGCCCACATTGAATCGAATACATGTCAGTTTCACAAAAATAAAAACTTGCAATTTCAATTTTGATTTTATTAATTGTATGCAGCTCTTCCTGAAATCGCAATAATTATTGTCAGGTTTGTATATTGCACAAGATGCACAATTATAAATGCACCCAAAAATTTCTGAATTTTCAGAATAAACCTAATTAGTTTTCTTTGTATTATTTTTTGGATCATTATTTGTTGCTTTATACCCCAGGTTAGAATGGAGGGACTGTACATCTGTTAGGAGGGATGTACATCTGCTAGTCTGTGAATATATCTGTCAATTTAACTGTGCGGTACCATTTTTCGGTCATGATCACAACTGTTTAACATATATAATGTTAGGCTTTAATTTGGTTAGCTATACTGTGTGAAGTAATTATAGACCTGTCACTCCATCTACATCCTGTCTGTTGTTCTGGTAAATGTAATGCAAACATGGAAAATTTTTCTTCTAATTTTTGTCAGCATCTACAAATTGACAACATCGTTATCCGTTTCGATTTTTTATGATTATCACTTATCACTTTCTTTTTCAAGAGCTGTAACACTTTTTTGCTTAAACTGTTGTATGAATAACCAAGGGTTTGCTTAACCAATGTCATGAAAGCATACAATGTAATTATAAAAGGTATTAAGTTTCCTTTAAATTTTGATGATTAATCATTTTTACTTTTTTGTTCAGAAATATGAAACTCAGTTTGTAGAAAAATACTTTTCATATGTTTACATAATTCTAAGAATTAATGATATATTTTTGTGTCTAGTTTTTCCAAAAATAGGCAACTTTCTCTATAAAAAAAATGTGAAAAAAGATGAGAAGAAACCAAGGTGCAATCAAAACCCCAAAAGTCCAATAGAAACAGACAACACCATGGCCAGAAATTGAATCGATGAAAAGACAAACAGCTGTCCACAAAACGCTATACAGAGAACTAAAGATTGAGTAACATGAACCCTACTAAAAATCATGGGTGAACTCAGGTGCTCTGGATAGGTAATAAGTTCCTGCTCAACTAGTGGTAGCGTGTTTGCCTGGAGTACGGGAGGTCGTGGGTTCGAACACCAGCCTGGTCAGACCAAAGTCTTTAAAATTGGTATTTGCTGCTTCTCGCTAAGCACATGGTACTAAGGAGTAAGAGAAAAAACTGGTGAGCTCAGAGTCGGAATAATGTGTCCAGGTAGGGTCACATGTCTTCCTGTGTACTGTTAC